AACACCATTATATTATAGCTTTATCACTTAAATGATATTTAACCGAAAATATATAGAATATATGAAATTGTTTAAAATAGTATTAATAACATTCAGGTTCCTTACATGCATTAATTGGAAGTTTGTAGAAATAACTTTTAAGATGATAATACAACTGCCACTAACGTCACACTTTGATTCAAAGGCCTACTTTTTATTGAAAAATGTCGGCGTATGTTTAACTACGGTGATGTTGCGTTATTCTCATATCTGGACCAATTCAAATATGAATGATTAAAATGACTAAATTGATAAATCACCTAATGTCCATTTAACTTCTACTTACTTCTCTCAGTTGAACGAATTCCGACGCAGTATGTTCTTTGAGTTTTTCATTCTCTTATAACAACATAAAATAATAATATTGAAAGCTTATCATCTGCCTAATACAATTATTCGAAATATGCTTATCCCGCTTCCGTACACACGTATTTAGATATATTTATTTACAAAATATAACATTTATATTTTATATTTATATTTACATATACTACTAACACATATTGATTTATATTAACATATTTAATATATGCACAAAAAAATTAATCCATGTAGAAAAACATGGAAGAAATGTTAGTCATTATTAAATAAGAATAAAAGTAAAACTGATAGAATTAGCGAATATTTGGAAAGTGCGAATAATTGCAAAATTCTATACATTTTTTCTATTCTCTGAAAGCAGTAACATTGTCTGATTAAGAAAAACATTACATCAAAACTATAATTACCTTGACTATTACAATTCTCATTTTTTATAAACAGTTAAAAGGACCAATAAGTACTCTATAATACCAATAAGTATTTCTATTTTACTAGCATATAAAAACCATACGATCCGCATATTTCACGTTGACAATGTTTTTACATGCTGTGGCATAAACTTTTTGAATATTCGGACAATTCTTATATTTATTATTTTTGTGCTTCTATTTACATATATGTATTTCTATATTTCTATGTTTCTATATTTTCTGCGCTCTTAAGTGTATTCTAAATAGAAATTTATATTTCTGTATTTTCACCTGCTTACGTAGCTTTACTAAATTTTATGCAATGATTAGCAAATGTTGACCATTGTAAAAATATAAAAAGTTATGTAAAAAACAAAGTATAAACAATTTTCATCTTACGAACAAAAATAATAAATAACCTTATTTATTATGTTTAACATATACCTGGCAGCTTTCAGTTTCTTTCATATTCTTTTCAGCTGTTTCAATCATGATTTGTAAAGTCTAATATTTTTTAACTGAAATGTGATTTAGAAAGTTCAAGCTTTGTATAATTATTCTTTCCTTTAAAATATTTTTGGGACGTAAGTAAGAAAGAGCTTATAGAAAAACGACATTACATTTTTATTCAAAGTTTTCATCGATTTGAGGTACTTGGACATCATCAATTATAAGATCATCAAGCATTTCCTCGAGAGTAACTTGCGGACAACTAGGATCAATTAATTCATTACTATCCACTGGTATTGTTTTCGTGCTATCTCTGAAAATATTTATATTTTGCCTCATCTCTGGATCCTCCTCTATGTCTTCCAAAAATTCATAATAATCACTGAAACAAAGACAGTAATATAAATTCCAATTAATAAAGTTATTACAATACATATTCTTCAAATTATAAAATACCAAGTAGCGAATAAATGGGCAACTAATCATTTCAGTTTCAAAATACTTCCGCTTTTTAATTGTAATATAAATCACAGTAAGTTACTTACTTATTCAAGTCATCTTCGTTTTGAAGCATATGTTTTAATTTCCAAATTCTTATCTTGCGTCGTGCTACTCTGTCATGTGCATAACTTTTCTTTGTCAAAATTACGTCTGGGACCAAATCTTTATTCAATAGTTCAAAATTATCATCATTGATATTACTATCGTTAATAGCATACCTATGAACAAAGCTCATTTTACAAACTCTAGTCTTATTTCTGGCTAGTGATATTATATTTGATATCCTACCCTAATGCCGTATCTCCTGGTTTAAGTACATGGCCAAGGTGAGTACGTGTATGAATGTAATTCTCATTTATTCCTAAATCACACCTTCTAACTAACCATACATCTGCCACTCCGTGCTGAAAATGGAAATTTGATTGTAGACTTCATTCAAAATATGCTTAAACTATTTACATTATTTTATAAACCATTTTAAATTCATCTTATAATACAAAAATAGGAATAAAGAAATTTTTAATTATATATTTAATAAAGTATACCTTGATAGAAATTGCTCCTTGTCCTGGAAAGAATTTTCTATCCTTGAAACTTATTGGTTCAATATCCATTACTATATATTCTATTAACTGTTTTGGATCACAAATACTATTAAAAGGATGCCTCCAGTAAAGTGTAGAACTCACTTCTGCAACTGTTATAAGAACAATATTTAATAAATATAAAATATGAAATAGATAAACAAATTATAAAAGTTTGGAAAACAACATACTTTGACCAGTTGCGACATCTATTAAGTGAATAGCGTTTGTAATCTTGTATACTAGACAAATAGGATTTATTCCTCCCAATTGATGACCTAACTTCTTTGGAAGACATACAATACTATCCCTTGATATTGGAACTATCTCCACGCTATAAAAGAAGGGAAGATAATATGCATTTTACTTTTACAGTATATTTCATTAAATTACTATTACTTCCACATCAATGTAATCAATGTAACATCTTTTAAATATAATACCTGTATGTGAATTTATAGTTATAGATATTACTATGGATGTCATGAGAAATCAACTTTTTAGAATGATCATAAGTGCAAGGTACCACGCTTGAAAGAAAGTCAACCATCTTCCTAGCTGTTGCCTCATTTGCATAGAAAAAGTCCAGACCCTCTAATAAAATTCATAATTAACTTAATAACTTAACAGACTTATTAATTAAAGATTTTAACAACCATCCATTACCGTGAATAGGTTTTATGCCCAATGTATGTTCATGTGCTTTGTACTTCAAGATTAATTGTTCCAAATAATAGAATGTTTTTTTATTTGTGCATTTTTGCCTCACTTGTACCTGTTGAAAATGTATAGTAAGTACATTTAAGAAAATCTATACAAAACAAAATTACTGTTTTACAGGACTCACCAAAGCACGCCAATAATCTTTTGCTTCTGTTCTATGACAATCATCACACATGTGGTGATTTACTGTATATTCAACTACAAATATTTGTTGCAAAACTGCACCATTCATCACTTCTGCTTGTACCGTCAGTTTTACCTAAACAATATTATGCAATAACATAATAATATTATTATGATAATCATACAACTTCAAAAATACCTTTAGCCTCATTGAATGAGGTTCTGTCCATACAAATCCAGCATCAATTAATTTTACACGATTCAGCCCCTTCAATTTTTTCAAACACAGTGTCAATAATTCTTTAGATTCTAATGCTGCATGAATCCATTCTGCAGGTGGCTGCAAATATCTAAAGGAATTTTATTATGTAAATTAATAAAAAATTTAGCTATACGACGAAATCAACTGTTAAAAATTCTAGCAACATATATTTTTTATTTTTTACCTTTCACATCCTTTACAAAAATGAATTGTCGCTTGCTTTGGAATGGCTTCAGTAATATCAATTTGAGTTCTTAAACATGAGACACACATGTTGGCAGGATTAGGTTGAATACCAATACCACAAATGCAGCATAATCTAAGAACATAATTTACGTCATTTATATTTCCTATTGACATTAACTTATGTCAATTGTATGTCACATAAAAGGATTAAAACTTGGTTTAATAAAACTGAAAGGTTGATAAAGTAAACATCTTTGAAACAAGTTTTGAGTAATTGGTTTTTTTAGACCCATAAATTAAAGAAGTCTGGAAACTTAAATTAAATTTACAGAATGTTAACACACGTTTTTAAGGTTATATTTAATTGTAAATATACTCACATCATTGTTTCCTGTCTAACGGGATCTTGTAAAGTCTCCATTATTCTCAAGTTTAATTATAAATAAAATAATATATAAATAATTATTTTAAATACACAACAGATTTAATTTATCAATAAAAAGTATATGATAACCCTAAAATCTATCACGTTTCAACACCATGTGGTATGTATGTAACGCCAACTTCAAGTTTATCAATGATTATGATGATAAAACTGACGCGATGCAAATAAAACCACGTGACAGTATTGCAAATATACAAAGTAAATGGTGAATCTTACAGAAATCAGATTTTTATAATTGTTATACAAACTATAATTTATGAACACAACAAAAATTAAATTAGTTTGATTTTATTAAATAAAATAACGAAACATGTAAATAAGTATCTAAATAGGTAAGACTATTAACGGAACGTCGTTTAGAGTTCTATCTATTTGTAGCACATTAATACAGAAATAATAAATTTGAGAGCGCATTTTCTGTATGTAACTTCAGATGGTACATTAGCAGATTGGTTCCTTGCCTTAAGGGATCATCATATGTCGTTCATAAGATCAAAAACTCTTTTTTTTTAAATCATATATTCTGCTAGTGCAATTCTTCTAGAATATTGTCCTAAAATTTTATTTGAAAATTTGCAGAATTAATAAACTTGTAGCTTCGAATATTTGAGCGGTCACGGTCAGACATTTAACCGTGCCTACTCTGACGCATGTACAGAAAGATTACTCGACAGATTTTTGAAAAAAGTGTTATAGCAAAATATGCTTAATTTGTTATAGTATAATTATAAACCAAGCATGTAAATTAAATATGGACTTTTGTTTTCATTGTTTATTGTTTTATGTTAACAAACACAATACATTTCATACATAAAGTAGATAATTTTCCTTACCTAAGTTAGTATCAACAATGTTAATTATAGATTTTATGCTATTCTAAAAGTCATTCATTTCACAGATTAACATATATGTCAACCAATTAATTAAATCTACTTTTACAATTATAAAATTAACTATTAGTTTTAACAAGGAGACCGCATGAAGTATTACGCACTGACTTTCATGAACCTTGTATGTTCAGTAAATAAGTAAAGAAAAAAATGTAAATACAAATATTTATGAAAATTAAAACACTGAAATATTTATGTGTATACTTTTTGGATCATAAGAAATTCAATTTCAACACAAAATAATAAACATGATTTTATTACGTGTTACATTATATCAATGTTTTCACATTTTTATTAACCATAATTAACAATCTAATAATTCTATGACAAAACTTTGTTAAGACAATGTTAATATATTTCGAAATATGTTTAAATGCTTCTCTTAGATAATAAAATAATAAGAGGTAGTTAAAGGATTTATATTCTCCAAGATAATAATAATTTTAACTATTTTAATTAGGCTCACAAATAGACAAAGTTAACATCTTCATGCCACATGTTACAAACGAAATGTCTATAGCCATGTTATAAATTATATGTTTCAGATATTTGCCTGTTTACAAAGTTTTATTAAATTCGTTTCGTAACATTTCAGTGTGATCTCCTTGTGAGCTTGATTATTCAAAAGTTATAATATTTGTTTGTACAAAGCAGGTTTTACCTATAGAAATAACTATCACACAATTCGTTATTCTTAAAAATAACTCGTTATTCATATATAACAACATAAACATATTTTTTGTGTTTTTAATTTTAAAAAACTTCACAGTTAATTAATACACAAATTATTATTGGATAACTGTCTACTATCATATTGACTATGTGAATCATTATTTTGAGATTTTGTAAATTAACTTTCCTAAAAAGTTTACATCATCAAAAAATAAATCTTTTATGTAATTTCGTTATTACTAAAATCTTATTACATAATTGTATAATTTTTATGCAATTAGTTTTATAATATATTCATTAAAAAGTTTATCATTGATACGATAATGATGTCAACCTTAATTACCTCCTGGTCCATGTAGTTCAATAAAACTTTCCAAGGAACGTGGTACTTTTTCATGATATGATAAGTTATGAGCTTTTATTACCTTTGCAGCTATACATTTTAACGATAACTTTCTCTGGGTCCTCAATATTATTTCTGCCTCACCTGCATATGTAAAATAATACAGATCAACAATTTGTTATTTAATTTAAATAAAGAAAATCTCCTTATATCAAATAACATACACACTACTATTAATTTCATTAATAACACATATTTTCATTTTGACTTTTGGAATATCTTCAACCAAAACTAACTTGGGGATCAAATTGTTAAGTTTCTTTAAATATACTGATACCTGCAATAGCTGCAGCATAAGGTGTTTCGCCCATACTGTTTACAGTGTCCATATGTGCTCCAGCTTCTATAAGCTCCATAATAATAGAATAAAGAGTGTCGAAATCACTGTAACATTTGAAGAATATATTTAGTAACTTGTTCACAACTATTTATTTAGGAATTTAACGTATTTAAAGAATCCATCAGTTTTTACTTTTTTTCTTTTTCTGGAGGAGGAAAGTGTAATAATTAATCGTACCTAATTGATTTTTTGCAACCAACAATTATGTGCAATGGAGTATTCCTATCATTGTCCATTGCATTTACGTCAGCTCCACAACGTATAAGTAGTTTTGTTGTCGCAGCACACGGAAATCTATTGAAAACAATTTAAAAATCTTATTAGTATAAGAAAGGGTAAAAAAGAAATGTTTAATTTACTTATATTAAAAAATTTTGTTCTGACTTGCAAGCGTCGTTGATATAGAAATCATCCACAGGCGTCTCGGCATTTACAGCGAGATGTAGTAATGTTTGTCCATCCTTTAAACGCGTTTGCAGAAGACACAGTTTATGAACTAAACAACGTGCCTTTATTTTTTCCTGTTCTGTGTATCGACTTTCGTTCAATGTTAAAAGTTTCGTTACTATTGATAATATGTATAATGTGCTTATAATATTTGATTTCATTTCCTCCTGCGTCTTGAAAAGATTTTTTAAAAACATTGATTAACATATAATTTAACGAAAAAAAAGATTGAAGTTAAAATGTATAATTGTATCAATATATAACAGATTATCTACAAACTTTCTTATTTCAACTTACTGTTCAACTTACTATTTCAACATACTGTTCGATATCTTCTTCGGAAACAGAAACACTGATTACAGATTTATTGCGGTCAAGTTCTGTTACACAAGCCTGCAGAACGCTCAAAACCTGAGAGAAATCAAAATCCACTCCCACGTGTATCATTTGTGAGAATACCTATAAATAATACCACGAAAAAAAAAGAAGAAAAACATTAAAAACCTGAATACAATGATTTAAATGGTATTTTCTCGAAATATAGAGGTGCCTGTTTAGTAGTTACAGAATTAGAAATTTATCACCTTCAATGTAAGTGGTAATCAAGTGCTCCATCCTCTCTCCTTGAAGCTAAGTCCAAAAACTGATGAGGAAAAAATGTAACCACTAAGTAATCACCACTATATACGCAACATATAAATACTTGAAAATTATACCTGTGCAAACCTAAGAAGATCCTTCACAACGGAAACATTATTTAATTGTTTCAGATACAAAGCATGAAGCCATAGATCGATACATCTATCAAATTTAGCATTGTCTGCAAATACCGCTCCTCTGAATACTATATGATTTGGTACTGCTGGATTATGTTGCCCTATCATTAAAATTTAATAAAAATAGATAATACATAAGCAATTAATAAAATGTAATACGTTTTTCTAAAAAAAAAAGATAAAAACCTAAGATTCTTTCTCGAATAGCTAATGACTCCATATTGAGAGCATTCGGATTAACCCTAATGCGTTCGAATTCTTCCAATGTTTCGCATTCTTTCCAATTACCATATGCTTTCACTGGTTCGCCTAAACGTTTATAAATAATGTTGTCAGGATCGCTAAACCTGTAATATTGAACAATTATTCAATTGATTTCAAATTACATACCACTATTTATACACACCTAAGCTCCATTGCTTTTCGTAAATATCTGTATGCTTTTGCTAAAGGATCGCTGCCTTCAGAGACACTGTTAGAATAAGAAGCACCTAAGAGTTCGTATGCTTCAATTATTTCTTCTTTACTAACTTCTGTATATTTTATTAAACATTCCACAACATCAGTTCTGGTACGTTCTGCTGCTACTGTTAATGGTGTCATTCCATTATCGTCCTTTGTCATTTTTGCTCCAAATTTTAATAATTCACAAATTATGGCAATATGCCCGCATTTAGAAGCTAAGTGCAAAGCTGTGGAACCATATTTTGATTTTTCATTTGGATTTGCACCTTGTTCTAAAAGAAATGTCACCTGTTTTGGTATAAAATAAAATTAAAATTGCTGAAATTAATTATATTATTTTATCCATTTATGATTCTATGCAGACTCTGATTTAATATTATATTTCGTTCTAGCCAGTAATTTCAAATCTTCTTGTTCATAAAAGGTACTGTTGTCATGTTTCTTAATTAAACAGTTTCTTAAGTAATTTCTTAAAGCAAAACATGGAAAAGGTAAGAAATACATTGTGTGTAAAAAATATAAGAAAAAATATGTGTTGACACAATGATAATACTTAGAAAAGACTAAATATTACTAAATATGACTGGAACGAAAACAGAAGAGTTCCTTGAACCACAATGACTTTTTATTATTGAACTTATAATTATACTTACAACATCAACATGACCTTTATACGATGCAATCATTAGGCACGTATTATTATAATGATTTGTGATGTTCATATCAGCGTTATGTTCCATTAAATATTTAGCTATATCTAATCGTCCATCGAAACAAGCCGCTCTCAAAGGAGTCGATTGACTTTCAGTCGGATGATTTACATTCGCACCTGCTTTTACTAAAGTTTTCACAACTGTCAAGTGTCCTGCACCAGCAGCACACCAAAGTGCACTTGCTTTTTCAATAACACTTCCATCAAATTTCACTGTTCCTTCTTGTTCTAAATCAGGTTTAAATTTATCAAGTAATATTGTAACTACTTGATCATGACCATATCGGGCAGCAATTATTAAAGGTGTACATTGTTGTCCATCTTTTTCTAACACTTTCTGATTAATCAGCTGATTAACTTGTTCAGGAGACTTAGAACTGAGAAGATCATAAAGGGCAATAGCCATACCCTCTTTAGCAGCATAATAAACACGTGTTATAAGTGATTGTGACACTTCTATCGAATCTTCATTTGAATTATTCACTTCCATTTTGTTAACTGTTCTCTCGTATATTATAAACAACGAGTAGAGATGCTTTTACGTTAAGCTACCGTTGTGAAATTTCTCGATGACACTTAACCCCAAATTCTCCATACTACACATCAGATTTCAGACAAAGCTTTAAAAGTTATTTTAAGAATATACAAAAACATATCAGTATTCTCGCATAAAAATAACATTTAACTTTGTTTAACCTTGTTTAGCGAGCGTTGTTGCAATCATTGCTATTTTTGTAATTGATCAGTTAGTTATTTTCAAACTTGTAATATATATTGCACGATTAGTCATTAGAAAATTTTCGGCATTTCTTTTGTTTCTCAATCTTTCTTTGTCCCGGTAATGAATTTAGAACGATTCCTATTATCCTTGAAATTTATCGTTGCGCATTTGAAAAATCTAAGAAATTGCGTTTTCGGCTCGGTCCATCTGAAATTCAATAAAGAAAAATTCTCATAGATAGATAAAGATTTAATGGGTGAATTTAGCAGAAATATCAGCTGCGTTTCTGCGAATGTCAAACATCTCGTGAGTGATCTAGGAAAAATACAAATTACAAAAAGTATCTATTATCATAAGCATCGTAAATGACGTAGATAAGACAAAGGGAAATAAAACGAACACACTTGGGGATAACAATTTCCACCCCACTACGAAAATTCTTTGTGTTTCTGGATTTAATAGTCTCTTTCTCTCTCTATCTCGATATATGTACATAACTGTACTAAACGCTATAATACTAGTGCTGCCAAATCTGCGTCTTATTTACGAAGTTTACTACGGAATACGATATTCAAAGAGAAATGGATAAAAACGTATAACAGAACTTATTTCTAAGTTGTATTACTATATATGAATTTCCGTTTAATACGATGCGACCATCCATTGAGATATATTTTTAAATATAAATTGAACCGTGTTCAACTAAAATATGGGTGTGGGATACGGGAAAGTCTGATACAAAAATGCCTCTATCGGAGATCCTTAACATTAATTGACACCGAATTACTTTCCAAAAGCAATAATGATATAGATCGCGTGGAATATGTAAAATATAATCTGCTCGACTAAAATAAAGGAAAGTACCATTTCTGTTTATTATTCAAATGTATAGGAAGTCATCAACTTCATTCACCGAAGAAACGATTCATTGAGAAACACCGAAAAAAAACGCAAAATATTAGTAACTCTTCCATCTTAGCTTTTTTATACTTCATGATCAATTTGAAAAGGTAGCTGCTTTCACCTCGGTACTGTGTCGTCGGAGTGTTAAATATTGAAAAATAAATGTTACAGGTAAAATTATATTCTTTATTACTATATTCTTCTATTGTTATTAGTTATTTTTTATATATAATTTTATTGACTATGAAGCTGTAAGTATAGAAACGAGTAACCAATTTTTCTGTTTATATTTGTTTAACAAATCAATTTACATCGTTGGATAGATGTATTGTGCTTAATTAATGTCAGATAATTAAACAATATTAATGAAACGATCATATAAAATTGAAAGGTATGAAAAGTGCATTTAGAAAATGTGGTGTTATCATAATATTGTGAAAGACAAAAATGTGAATATGAAAAATGTGTTTTGATAACCATAAATGATCAGAAACCTTAAATATTAATAGAGATATAATACAATTGTGTAATACTAGGTACTACAACGAAGTTCTGAGATTGATAAGATAATATTAATATTAAATGAGCATGTATTACAAATGTATTTAAAATTTTACTTCTATCTTGTGTAAGCATTCCCAATGAAAATTATGATGAATTTGTGCACAAAACTTGATAAAATTGTTATGTGGTCATGTATAATGTTATAAATTGTATATAGTAAATTCTAATAATAATTGAAATCCAAAGAAGAAATAAACTTCTTGGGAAAAGTAAGTTATATTTATATACCGTCAAGATCAATAATACAGAAATGAAAATTTTATCTAAAGATTATACTTTTAGCATTTGAATATTAAATTATAGGCTATAATTAGTTTTGGGATCGTTGAAGTAATTTAACAAGAAGTATGTGTATTGCTTCTGACCAAAGAATACTTTCAAAGGAATAATGATAAATCATTGAATTGATCATTGCAGCTTATTTAATTTAAGTAGATTAGAAAGATTAGACACTGATGTTATACAATATAATATAAAATGTTTTTATATTTTATAAGGAAATATTTCAATTGTTTTAATTATAATGATTTTCCAAGTTCTAGTTCCTTTGAATAAACTAAGGCACAAAATGGCTCCAGTGCCTTTGGAGGGTCATCAAACTCCTGTTACCAATAACATCCCACAGGAAGGAAATCGTGGTGGTTCCATTTCTCTTGGCATACTTATCGATTTCATTATTCAACGCACTTATCATGAACTTACGGTTTTGGCTGAATTGTAAGAAAACTTACATTATTAAGAAAAAATTATTTTGTTATTAAAATAAACATAAACTTAAGTATAAATGAATAATAGATTAAATAGATGATTTGGTAGAGCAAAGTTATAAGTATATTCAATTCTAATGAAAATTTATGTATTTCAAGTATGAATATATTATAAATGCAAAATGTTCAAATTGAAATACATGTAAATATATTTACAGATTACCAAGAAAAACTGACATGGAACGAAAGATAGAGATTTACAATTTCTCGGCTAGAACTAGGCAACTTTATGTACGATTACTTGCATTGGTTAAATGGGCAAACAGTGCTTCCAAAGTTGACAAATCTGCGGTACAGTGAAAATATTATTTTTTATTACACGATTTTCATATATTTATATAGTGAATGTAATGATTAAATAACTAAACTATTTCCTTTTCAACAGCATATAATGGCCTTTTTGGATAAGCAGTCACTGTTGTTTGTCGATACAGCTGATATGTTGGCACGTATGGCTCGAGAAACACTAGTTCATGCTAGGTTACCTAATTTCCATATTCCTGCAGCAGTGGAAGTTCTAACAACTGGAACATACAGTCGTTTACCAGCATGCATAAGAGTATGTTAAAATTATGAATATCTATCAATGTATATTTAAAGGAGGTATGATTTTAAAGTCGATACTAATAATAAAAATCTATTTTTAATAGGAAAGGATTGTCCCTCCAGATCCAATTACACCTGCAGAAAAAAGGAGTACACTTCAAAGACTAAATCAAGTTATTCAACATAGATTAGTAACGGGAAATCTACTTCCACAGATGCGGAATTTAAAAATTGAAGCTGGAAGAGTAACATTTCTTGTAGAACAAGAATTTTCAGTGTCGCTTACGGTTATGGGAGATGGACCATCTGTACCTTGGCGGTTATTGGAATTGGAGATTTTAGTTTCAGATAGGGAAACGGGAGATGGCAAAGCTTTAGTTCATCCTTTGCAAACGCGATATGTGCATCAAGTACTATCCTCATTCTAAATTTTCATATTAAATATATATTTTTTCTCTTTTGGTAATAAACAAATTAATTTTAATTACCAGGTGGTTCAATCAAGATTGGCAGAAAGTACAAATCCATTATCTGAAGTTTATCACATATTACATTATTTTTGCCAGTCGCTTCAATTAGAAGTATTGTACTCTCAAACGTTACGATTAATACGAGATAGATTAGATGATCACATTCACGTGGATGAGTACACACCAGGGAAATGTCTGTCTGTGTCATATTGGAGAGAGTTAACTAGTAAAGATCCTAGATCAGAATTAGGATATAAGCTTACGGTGCAAGTGGATCAGCATGATCCAGCTAGATCACTTGCTATAGTACATGTTCCATCGTTAGGTAGCAAAGAGAGTGAAATAGCAGACAGAGCGATCAGATCAGACCAGTTAGCAATGGAATGTTTATTGGTGCATACAATTTATGTGCGCACTAGAAGTAGGTTATTAGATTTGAAACAAGAATTGCAATCAATGTTAAAAGATGTTGAGTGTACTCTAGCTGGTTCACCTGCTATTCTGTCTGTTCCCATTTTGCAACCTTGCTTGAGAGCCGAGCATCTTTTAGTTACCGTTGATACTCATACTGGAATGTTGCAATGTCATGTGCCACAGTATGACGCACCTCTGGTTCCTGAATTGACTGCTACTTTAAATGGCGATCATTCTCGATTACCGACCTTAATATCAGAACTCAGGTAATTCTTTCATTTCATATTTCTCTTTCTTTTTTAAAATTCATTGTCTTTTTCTTATGTTACATTATTTTCTTGGATATTCTAGATTCTGGATAACACAAAGAAGATGCGAAAAGACACTGCAACATCTTCCAGCAACTTCTCACGAACGATTGCCAATCCTTCATCATCCTGAACATCCAATGTCAAAAATTAGCAGACATCGTATGTTCGTTCAATTACATCGGCATCCCACAGTGATTTTAATAGTGGCATTTAAAGAGAAAGAAAGTTCACCGTGCGAAATAGAATGCTCATTTTACCTTGCTGTAGTGAAACATAGTTCCGTGGAGGACGATCCTCACGACGACAGTATCGAAACGGAGATTCCAAAAATGTATTTGAAAGTTCAAACTTTAATCGAGTTCGATACTTTCGTCATAACTCATGGCCCTTTCACCAGTGTTGATAACGGTTCGTTTTTTATTAATTTATTATAATTGATTCTCAAGTTAATCTGAATGAAGATGAAAGCAAATTGATCTGAATATGTTACAGAAGCTACCGAAGTAAACTCTAACAAACGCAGAAGCACAGGACCTAGTGGAAGGACCGACGCAAGCACTACGTTACAGAACAGACGATCTAAGCAGCCTGCATACTTTATTCCGGAGTTAGCACACGTAGTCGCCCTTTGCGATGAGAGAATACCCTTTGTAACGTTGGCTCAAGAGTTAACTAAAAGAGATATAGCACATCAGGGATTACAAGTAGAAGCAAATGCTACTGCGTTAGTTCTGAAATTGGTTCAACTACCTGCTCCGTCTACTATAATTGGTTCTAGTTGCTCTTGGCAAGCACTTTTTAAAAGATTGCTCAGCGTATCGATTAGAGTTCAAGGTAAAGGCATGGCCAAAACTTGGATGGCTGAATTCGTATTTCACGGCAGTCCTTTGTCTAGTAATCATCCAAAGGAACAAGGTAATACAAACATATAACTTTAAATAATTCAATGAATTTTAAACGACGCTCTCGTTTCTCTTAGGTCTTCGGAGACCGGTATATTTTCAGTACGAAATGGGAACAGCGGATACTATGTCACGTACAGTGGACGCACTGCTTAACGATTGGGCACAAATTGTACACCTCTATTCGTTGGTTCATGATTTAGCAGAATACTTTAAAATGGGTACGTCGATATAAAACGTATTTGAGACTCTCTCTGTACAAAGTATACGTTTTATTTAAAATATCTACTATGAATATGCAATATAAAACCGTAATAAGGAACTCTATTTTTATGTATTTAGAGAAATACAACCTGCGCAACATGGTTAGTATAAAATCATACAACTACAGTAAATTAGTCCTGGCGTATGGTGCTAATCGTGGAGCAACTGTTACCATACAATGGAACACAAACGATAAAGCGTTCAAACTGATTTTTGGAAAGAGTAAGTATCGAATAAACATGTTATCGATGAATTTGCTTCACAATAAATTACAAATAATTTTCCTATGAATACACAGGTCCAACAAGCACTGTAGCTAATGCGCATTCCATTATGAAGGAACAGCTTGAAGCTCATTTAAATAGGCACAGAAATTTAGCACAACTTATACATATTCTCCATGAAACACTTCAGCCACTTACATCTATTAGCAAACTACCTATGATTCCACAACTTTGTGTTTACAATTTGGTAAGATTATCAAATCACTTATTTTCACACTTGGATTTTAATGGTATCGAAGTGTATTTATTAATTATACGTTTCTTTTTATAGCGACCTCAAATACCAGTACAAACTTTTACTATTATGCCGCAGTGTGTAACCCTAGTGAGAATTGCATATCAGGGAATGTACTGTTTAGAGCTGCGGTTACGTGGAGGTGGTTTGATAAGCCTCAGGGATGGAGCTTACAGTCGCTTCGATAGGAGTTACGTCGTCGACGAATTTACACCAACGCAAGGACTGAAGGTACACAATTTTAAAACATGTTTACGATCATTCGTTTTATTATCCATCAAATATTCCATCGGGCGTTCGTCATTTAATTTTGTTTCTGTAGGCCTTTTTGTCTAAATACGTAGACGAAAGTGCAGTTTTCCGTAGAAGGTCTCAGTCAGAAGATGACAATCCTCCTTCTCCTGTAACGATGGACAGCGACGGTGGCAGTGGAAGTGGAAATGTAGGTTTCCTGAGTCATCATAGAAGTGGCCCACAATCACCTGCACAGCAAAGGGATGGATTAAGGTTTCATCCGCCACTCACTCCACCTTCTGGCAGCAATCCTCATACGCCAGCTAGCCCGCATACTACCAATATATCACAGGTACTTCTCGTACTCTTTCTTTTGTGCTAATGCATGTTTGAACATACTACCAATTAAAAGTGTGATATCAAATTTGTAATGGGAAGGAGAGACGATACTATTCATCAAGGATTTAATAAACTTTTTCATTAATTCTACACTTTTGACTAGGAGTGTGTGTGAATCTGAATATTTTAATAACTCTTTCTTGAATTTCCATAGACGAATCAGCATCAGAGTTTTGGTAGCAGTCCGGCTACTTCCTTCAATCTGGCTTCACCGCCGTCTCTTCCACCCAATACACCCAATATGCTACCACATCCCTCACCTGGCTCTGGATTGGTTGCCAACAGCCCTTTGAATCCAATGCACGTCCCTAGTCCGGCTGGCTTGATGCCTACGTCTTCACCAGGACCATGCAGTAATGTTCAGGTTGGGCATTCTCCTGCAGGATCCTTTATGCAAACTGGTACGAAATAAAAGAAATAGATTTATGCATTTTATTCGTAGTAACATTTCATTCTCATTAGAATTTACAAATAATTCATTCGCACGTGTTTCTATATCAGCCACTTCCTTGGTTTTATTCTAATTATATTATTGTATTTTTCATTACAATATTTTCATATTCCATTATTATTTGCACAGGGCACATAGACGGAAGTCCTTTCCCATCTTCACAAAGTATGGCTTCGCCGGCAGCATCCAATTGGCCAGGTTCTCCCAACGTGCCAAGGCCGTCTCCAGCACGTCCAGCACAGAGTCCAGGACATGCCGCGCTACATAGTCCTCAAGCATCGGATCATAAAACGGGAACGCATATTTCAAGAGTACTTCCGCAACGTTCGTGGGCCGGCGCGGTACCTACGTTACTTACTCATGAAGCTCTGGAATTACTTTGTTGCCCCTCTCCGCACCCTTCTGGACTTCCTGGTCCAGATCTCTCTCCGTTAGAAAGATTCCTAGGATGTATTTACATGCGTAGACAGTTCCAACGCTTCATACAGACAGACGATTGTGTAAGTTCTTTTATACTCTTACGTATTTACAGATACATTGTGGTTTAATTTGTTATACATCATTGTATAAATTCTGTACAGCTGACAGCAATCAACAGTACAGAGCCAGGAGTAGTACAGTTCAAAGTAGAGAGCCTTCAATGTCGAGTTGGTTTAAATCCGCAGCACTTGCAGTCGCTTCACATAAAAGTACAGCCTCTTCCGGAACATAAAGATCAGTGGACTCTCGAAGAACTACAAGTAATTCGTTGTTTAATCAATTATATTGTATTCTCTTTGTTTCTTTATATTTTTATTCATTGTCTTTTTGTAGATTATAGAAAAATTCTTTGATACACGAGCAGCAGCTCCACCATACAAACCGAATACCCTTTCCGCATTCGGTAGAATGTTGAACGTTCCGTTTAATGTCCTTAAAGACTTTGTACAAATAATGAAACTGGAATTGGTTCCTGGGTTGGTGCAACAACAACAACTCAAATGGAACGTACAGTGGTGTTTGAGGATTCCTCCTTCGAGTACTCCGATTGTACCCACTGGTATGGCAGCTGTGATTGTTTGTAGAAATAAAATCCTCTTCTTTGTAAGTAGATTTTCCATTTATAAAGGGGAAACCAGTCACCGTGAACCGTTCGCGTCTAACCTTGTCGACCGTTTGTTTACATTTCAGTTGCAAATAACAAGGATCGGGTTACCGTATCAGGGAGAGACACCTTCGTTAATTTTACCGTTAGTTTATGATGTTAGTACAAATCTAACACAATTGGCAGAGAAAAGAGATCCTAGTCCTGCTTCCGCCATGGCTGCAGCATCGCTCCAGTTGAAAAGATTTGCTGAATACGGTGCAAACCAATCCGAATGTTCTCTTTTTCCTGCTGTAAGAGACTTATTAGCTAATTTAACTCTTCCATCGGAACCACCAGTTATGCCTCAGGTAAATCATTAGATTATAAAAACTTATAGATTATAAAACGTATAAATATTACATTCATTTTTGGCTTTCGGGTGAGATCCGTGTCCAATAGGAATATTTTCTCAACGTTTCGCCGGCATTGCAGCTGACTTCATCAGGGGGATAAAGGCACACTGATACTGGTGTGTGTCTTGGAAGACTTTCTTTAAATATGTACCCTGTTCATGTTCCGGATCGGTGGT